GCATGTGTTTATATATATTTTCTAATTATACGTATTAAAAGCTGAAAATTATGCGCCTAGACACGGGCGCGCGCGGGCTTATCTCTTGGCATCGTGTATATAGCAGCAGTTTAATTAAATATACGTAACTGCGGCGCGCGCGCGAGCACACAGGTACAAACTGCACACACACACACACACCATATACAGTACATTATGACGACTATACTCGCGCGCAAATCGTACAACAATTAAAAAATCCTCGCGCGCGGCTAGACTCTCGAGCGACGCGAACAAAAAGACGCCCGCATTTATGTGGATTTACGTTTGACGTTTTTTCTTCTTCTCTTTCTCTCTGTATCTCTCTCTCTTTCTTTCCCGAGCACGTGTATATATACGTATTATATGTATGTATGTGCGCAGGGCGTTTCAGTCTGACGGGCATTTATGTCGTATAGTTATACGACAAATTACCCAAGGAAGTGATTTGCTCGTGCATATCATAGACCCGTTATATCATTTTATGCGGTTCGCGCATTTGTATTATAATGTCTATCTATACGTGTGTACGTATACATGTGAAATGCGCATGTTTTTCTCGTTTTTTTTCTTCTCTATTCTGTTCCGCCGTATATATAATACTCGTACGAACGTATGATGGATGGAGCGCAAAATGATAAAACAAATTACCGCCAAGAACGTGAAAAACTCTCGTCGCGACTCCGCAGTCCGATCTCTCGCTTTATATACGTCGATGAATCGGTATTATATTTTTACCTTTGAATCTCTCGCGAAACCCGCATACACACATGCAATCATATGCGTATGGATTCAAGATCGACGCGACAAAACAATGTCTCGGACTCTGCTTGAGCCTATAATTGTAAATTAAAAATGATCTCTCGACCCGATCAATTCACATGGGCGCGCGCGGCGCCGCATATAATATATTTCACACACGAACACAGGGATGAACATTCCTCTCTTGTCTCTCTGTTGCTCGTGTATGCCCTCGCTCTCTCGCTCGAGCTATTTGCTTACTTTAGCTCGGTATACAAATGCGCCTCTGCGCGTATAAATACAAATATAGAAATAATCAATCTCCGTGGCGCGCGCACAAGTGCGAGGAGCTTTTAATTTACGCTTTTTACTCGGCGATATAACTCATGCTGTACAGGTGTAGGTCCTATGTATATATAGAGGAGAGATCCCAACGCGTCGTTGCGTTTCTCTGCTGGTGTGAATATACACACATACGCACACCGTGAAGGATGGGCTTTTTTCCGAGCTTGCGAAATTTCATACCTATGGCGTTTATATGTATATGCCGCTCTCGCGGTAATGTTTTATTCGCTATCTCTCAAGCGTATGTATACTTATAGGTAAATATGCGCGCGCGTATAATTGCGGCGTGTTGAAAGTGTACACGAGCACACGCATACATACACACATATATGCACACTGGTCGCTTTTGTAAAAAACTATTTAAAATAAATCCTGTACTTTTATTTACGCGATAAAACGTCCGTAAGAGCTGCTGATGCCAAGCCGGTAAAATAAACTCGGAAGCTTTAAGGCTCTTGCGCATGCGATCGCGCGGCGCTCGCAAGTAAAGCCATAACGGCCAAGTAGTAGCGATCGTCTCTCTCTCTTGCTGGCTCGCTCTTGGCTGCATCATCCTCGAAAAAGTGCAAGTTGTGCCAACAATAACGAGTTTTTATTATCGGTGCTCGGGCGTGTCTGCGGCATTCGTAATCACCTGTAATTTTCGAGCATATGTATGTGTGTGTACGTATACGTATTCGCATATGTACGCGGCAGCAGTGGCGGTATTAACGTTACGCAAAGTTCCGTATGCAGCGAGTGTGTACCTATATACATATAGCAACGAACAATGTTGTTAAGTAACGTAATAATTCATCGTTAATACAGTTGCTCGTATGGTGGATGCATATAGTTAATTTAAAGGTTTCCCCTTCTCCCCGATTCTCCGCTCCTTTGAGATTTTTGTCACAGGAGCTGTATCGAATCGCCATATAGCCAAAGAAAAAAACAACAACTCCGAATAACAATCGCACGTACAAGTAAGCCAATAGATGCAAGTGCAAAGAGAACGCGCCTGCTCGGGTTTTGAGAGCCTTTACTTCGCGTAAAAGTGAGGCCTCTTAAAATATTTACAATTAAGCACGGTTTTCAGCAGCAGCAGCTGTACAACAAAAAAAACGTTTGTCCCTCTCTCTCTCTTGGCACGAGCTTATACATGTATTATCTATTCGGCTTCGAACTTATGTGTGTGTGTATGTGTGTGGTATACATGCTCGGGAACATACGTGCACGAGCAATTGTTGTTGTGTCGAGCGCGAACGAGCGAGCGGCTTTCGCCCCGCGCGTTGTGTTCTATTGTCTTTGGCTCGCGCGCGCGCCTTTATACATCGCGCTGATTTCTCATATGTATACACACACGGCCCGTGCGCTCTCCTCGAGTGTTTATATGTTAATTAAACGACAGCCCGATGACTAACGAGGATTGATCATACCTATGTGTGTGTATGTACAGACGAAAAATGAACGATAAAAAGTCAAAATAATCGCGAGCGCACCTCTCCCGTGTGTGCATGCGTCATTGTTAACCATGCGAGGCTGCTCTCAGCGAGCGAATCTCGGCAGTGATCGCAGCTGTATATGATCGATCGATGCGCAACGACGTGTAAATATTTTTTCGCGATACCTCGATCTGAAAATTGTAAATAATAACAAAATTCGTTCGCAAAAAAGTAAGCTCGAACAAACAAAGTAATTCTCAACATTACTCATTGCAATACCAATGCGATGCATACACGCGTCGGAACTCGGTTGCGAAAAGGTCGCTCGTACAAAGAAACCAATTATACAAAGAATCGCCACAACAAAACCAAAATCCGTCAAAACGCGTCAAAGAGAAAAATTATTACCCGGACTACCGGGCACTCGAGGGGCGCGAAATAAAAAATCATCGCTTTGGGCGCGAGGTCGAGCGAAAGAGAGAACGGATTACACGCGGCGAGCGACGAGAGAGAAGCACATTTTATACCCGCGTAGAGACGTTTATGGTCTCTTTGAGAATGCAAGTCGCTACATATATATATTGTATATATGCGTACGCGCTCGAGTCGAGAAAGTCCATTAAGTTACAAGTGTGCGCACGGGAAGGACGTCCCATTACGAATGTTAAAATGTTTGATTTTAGTGCAATATTTCGATGAATAGCAAACAGCTCGTGCGCTCGCCGCGTGCACTTGCTCGTATACTATATAGTTTCAATGCTCTGCTGCTGCTGCTGCTGCTACTGCGGAGCACCGATGAAAATGAAAAAGTCGAGTACGCGCACACATATATACGAGTATGCAAAGAGAGAAAAAAAACGTTGCGATTTTGCCGCGCAGTAAGTCGCGAGTTTGTGTATACAGTGTATACGTAACAGAGGAAATGCTAATTTCTGACTTGATTAGTCCATAGACACAACTCTCGAGAGCTATACATATAAATACATCTCGCGTCACGTACGGATTTCTTTCTCTCTCTTCACTTCGATTAAATACTCAGAAAATATGCGCGCGCTCGCTCGGTCGAATACAAAAATCGTGACTATATCAATTCATAGAGTTCGCGATCGGAAGCTTATTTCTAGAGCTCTAGACTACAATTCAGTCGATTCGTTTGCATTTTTTGGCGTGTATATCACATTGTGTCCCACCCCTACCTTCACCCCGAACCTCTGAATATTCATACTTTTTATTTCAAAAAACACCGCCTATGTATACATCGACTTTTTTCGATTCAATCAAAAATCTGCATTCAACTCGTGGCTGTATGCACATGGGCACATACGAGCGCGGATGTGTATACTTAGATTCTCGGCGTTGCGCAATGGACATTTTTATGCAAAAAAAAATTCACGCGGCGCGTTCCGCGCGACAAATCGCGTGACATGATCCAATATGGAAAATCTGCGTACTAGCTTCGTCGGGAAAAATCTCTGTATAATCTAAGCTACTAAATGTTTTGAGGGCTCAAACGATCCGTGGAACAAACTAATTTACGTGCGAGTGGAGATATATATACGCCGCCCGTACGAGGTATAATCAATTTTCAATTAAGGGCGCTTGTACATATACTATGTGTATATGTGTGTGTACTGTGTATATACGCAGCAAGGACAAAAAACGTTCGCGGCAACTGCATCGGATCGGCAATCAATGCACCATACAAAAGATATTACGAGGGCTCTCGGCGTATGCACACTCTAAATCACGACGCATGTTGCACATGTGTGAGTGCGTGTGTGTGTACATACATACATAATGGCTTTAAATATAAAGAGGGAGAAAGAGAGAGAGACGACCTGATGTACGGTGCATACAACGATTGGGAGTGTCCCGTAAAAGTACCGCAGAGCGGCAGCAGACGTCAGCTCGTTTAAAAAAAGTACACGAGCAAATTGAATATATCCTTGTGTAAGACACACGCCCTCGTGCAAATATTGCGTTCTTGTACGAGTACGTTTAAGAGATCGATTATATTCTCTCGGCACCGCAGGCTTCCAAAGGCCGAGGAAAGGCTTGGAATCGAAAAAATGTTCATGCCATGTTTTTCATCTTTCTCCACAAAAGAAAAAAACCGAATTTCAGTCTTTTAATTAGACGTTAAAAAATGATTTTTTTGATTTTAGGGGTTATTTTTAGTATTTAACGATTATTTTATTTTTTGTGCCATTTTTCGTATAGTTAAAGTAAATTTTTTTAAAAAATCGTGCACTTGAAATGAAAAAATATTTAAGACTACAAATTCGAAATATGAGAGATGCAGTTTTTTCCACCGTTGAAATATTTTTTTCGCAAAATGCATTTTTTTTGCAAAATTAGGATCAGACACATTTTTAGGTAAAAGTTTTCTATCAATTCATTGACAGCGGTTTTGTTTTGATAATCGCACGAATATCACTGGAAAAATAAAAAATCTGTATTATTCATTCATTTATCAGTGTTAAGCTATTTTTATTTCAATTGTAACACTCATTGTTAAATAATGAGACTTCCGACATTTGTTCGAGCTTCATTACTATTATAGTTTCTATTCTAAAATATGTATCGAAGATTAAGTTTTCATTTTTATGATTATTCATCCGTAAGTATACGGATACCCGAAGCTTGCTGTAGTTTTTTTATAAACTTTTATGTTTTTTTGTTACTGGAAAACTATCTGGAATTATATTTTCTAATCTTCAAGGCTCTTGTTTTAGCCGCCAAGCAAATATGATATAAATTTTTGTTCGTGAATGATTCATCGATGATCATTTCACAGCACTCAATCGGCAGTCGATATCGTATCATCTCCAAGTAATATTCCAGGGCCCATCGACGGAAAAATCCTCTCGACAGTTTCTCACACAGATGCACAGAACACTCTTTTCTGGATCCTTTGGGGAGATCAATTATTTCTCGCTTTTTCGAGTCCAAGCTCAAGTAGTCCTCATATGCGAGTAGTTTCGCCGCCTCTTTGGGTTGTAACGGAATCAGATCATAAAGCGACAGACCCGGTTTCATCGCTATGTTTTTCGCTTGGCTCACAAAATTTTTTTTGTAATACCAAGATTTTTTATCATTCGTCGGTTCCTCGAACATTTTCCGCTTAGAAAATAATGTCATGATCATTAGGACGACACCTTGGTCCAATTCGTAGCCCCTTTTTTCAAGGCGCTCGACAGTGTCCATAGTGCGAGCCCCCAGTATTAAGGGGACAATCTCACTGAAAATAAAATACACCGTTAATTTTTTTTACGTTAAAACGTTCTTCAACATAACAAAAATGTTGCAATTTTCGAACGAAATTGGTAAAGGAACAATGCTTCGAACGAAATTGGTTATGGCCAATTACGCGAGCTTGACTGACATGCTCGATATGTACAAAACAAAACTTCTAACGTGTTTTTCTTGAACTTTTTTTCAACTCTTGCCAATGGTTGAGAGAAAACTATAAATCCGACCCTTATGTTTCATATCTCTTTTTAATCGTTACAACTTTTTCTAGAACATAAACTTTAAAAAAATTGAAAATATTCCTAATTTTTTTATGAGAATAAATTCACCTTGAAAACAATTTTTTAGAAAAACTCATTTAAGAATTGAAAATATCAAAGGCAACAAAATGGGTCTTAAGTCTCATACAATTTTTTCTGTAGTTTGTTATGTAAAAAACAACATCCAAATGGTGAGGAAAGAATAAAATTCTTTTATGCAATAGTATGACGATATAGTATATTTTGTAACAAGTGCGCGAAGCAGTTGACTCATCCAGGAGTTGTTTTCACCCGAGCGTAGCGAGCACATTTTTTAGTGCGCAAAAAGCGTTTTTGAACACTTGTGTGCGGTAAAATGCCTCATTTCGACACTGGTGTGCGGTAAAATGCCTCATTTTGGACACGGGTGTGCGGTAAAACGCCTCATTTAAATGAACGTATTTTTCGCCTACTATTGCATAAAATTTTGTATGCAACACGTGCCCAGCTTTTTGGGCACTTGTTACATAAATAACTATTTTCGAAAAAAAAATTAAAAAGTGAATTTTTTTACCATTTTTTAATGGGCCATTGTCTCCCAGCGACGTTAGGATTTCCCAGATTACCATACTCGATGTCAACGTGCTTGGCGAAGTAAACCTCGGTGGGAAAAACAAAGCTAGATAGATCAGCGCCTCGGTCCAAGAGAACATCGATAATTTTCGGCGCAAGTCTCGCCACGGCCCATTGCAGCGGTGTCCGGCCCAATTTGTCCTTCGCGTCAACCTCCACCGTTTGATTGTGACTGTCGACGATCTCGAAGAATTGTTTCACGTACGCATCGTCGTCCCAACAATCTGCGCAAATTAAGTGCAGAGGTGTCCATCCCTTCGCATTGGCCAAATTCGGGTCAGCGCCTCTTTCCAGTAGCAATTCGATCACCGCCCTGTTGAACCTCGTGGGGCCCAGTGCCAAGTACAGCAGTGGGTTACCTTCCTCGTCCTGGGCATTGACCAATTTCGGGTCGTAATTTAGCATTTTTTCGATCACCTTCTCGCAACCCCACTTTAGAGCCAGGAGTAGCGGCGTAAAGACTAATCCTTGCACGTGACAATTTGGGCCCTGCCCGCGCTCGATAAACTTTTCAACGATGTTTTCCAAACCATAACTGCAGGCCACGTGAAAGTGTGTTACACCTGTCTTCGCGTGGATATAATTAACGTCAAAGTTGTTGTATATATCGAATAGACGACTTTTCCAGAATTTTAAACGATAATGTAAGAACGCAAAAAGCAGTGCCGTGGTACGATTCAACAATGGGTTGCCGTCTTTATCGACGTCGGGTTCATCCTTGTAGCCACTGTTAGCTACGAACTCAATGACTTTTTCTGCTTTAAATTTGTATGTACTGCCTCTATTGTATCTACTATCGTGAATCATGCAATCTATAAGAAGAGTCTCGATTTCTCTGTTGCTAAAAGCAGCTAGAAAGTTGGGATATGCATCTTTTTTGCAATTCCTTATTAAGTTATAAAGTTGACTGAAACATGCCTTTAGTTGATCTTCTTCGCTATTGATTGTTGTGTGTATACGCTTCCATTCTTTAAAATCGTTGTATTCTTTACTTCGTGTTTTGACCATCGTTCTGCACAATCACACACTAATACAGCAACTTGTATGATATACTTGATTTTTCGTACGAGGATCACTAGCTACGGTTGACACGATCTTTCTCTAATGGCGCTATGGCTTTATGATGTGTACTGTACCGAGCGATTTAACCCGATTCTTTCGAAATGAGTTGAACTAAAAGCTCAAGTAATTATAATGTAAACACGCGTACCACATAACACAGCTAACGAGATGTCAAATTTGGAAATGTGTTGACCGAACCTTCATATTATTTTTCCACGAATTAGTATTATGTTGATCACGACACTCGAGTATATGGACCTGGAAAATTTAACTATAGGTGCTGTCACGAGGGTCTAATTTTTCCTTTTTGCATAACGATAAATTCAAAGACTCGAAAGAACTTCAAAGTCAAAAAATTAATCTATAATTTTACTATGGATTTTTCTCGAGTTTTTCATTGCTTTTTCAGAACTTAACAATTAAAATTTTTTTTAACTCTGCGTGCGCGAAACACGGGCTTTCTAACCTTAAAGCGTCAGAAAACCCTAGTTTCTCGCAAGCAGAGTTAAAAAATATCGTTTGCAACTAATCCGCGAGGAAGTTGACTCATCCAGGAGTCTTTGCACCCTCGCTACGCTCGGGTGAAAACAACTCCTGGATGAGTCAACTGCTTCGCGCACTTGTTACAAAATATACTATTATGTGAAGCATCTATTTACTATTGCTGTTTGCACGAGTCTTTTTCCATACACTTGGTATGTAGATTCAAAAAGGAGGGTAAAAAATCTTTAAACTTTTTTTTTTCAATGTCCACGTTCCCCTGGACCCTCAAGCTAGCGAGCTACATTCTCAAAAATATTCGAAAATACATCGTCGTAATGCATTTCATACAATGGCTACGTAATCGTGCCCAAGTGTATACATGTATGCAGCGATGAATGACAATGAGCTTCAAGCAGTTCGCGAACCGACGATTTAAATTAAACGTCCGTACGTGTATAAGTGTGTTAGTTGGGGTATATACAACTTGTTGTTGCAGGAAGCATCGCGCATCGCTCATTATGTATTTTATAAAGAAACGAGGAAGTTTTGTCACGAGGATAATTCCGTGCGTTCGCGCTCATGAGAGCGCGCAGCATAGACGAGTTTATAGATTTTTTTTTTCATCAACCTCTCGACGTCGAAAACTTACGTATACGCAACGACGACTGCGACGACAACGACGACGTTTAGGCGACGTTTTTTATTTGACGCAAATAGAACAGTATGTCTAGGCCTTGCTTTTTTGTCGCCAGTTTTTTGCTCGCGATTCTGCTTAGCGTAATAAAGATAGGTGTGGTATTGAACGTTATTGAAGATACGGCAAGTCGATTTGATTTTTAAAGTACATGGCTCCAGATTTTTTTGCAAGCGTTCGTACGAAACATTGTAATCGCGATTTGTCAAATTGAAGCTGGATACAACGCGACTGATTGACCTAGCATTGTAATTTGAGCGAAGAAAATAAAAACTCTAAGAAGAATTTGACGTATAAAAGAACAATTACACGTCCGATATTCAAGCCTCCGAGGCATATTAGAATCCTTAGAAGTCGATTTCATTCGGCACAACAAAACTCGGACTTTAAAAAATTCCGAGCGTAAATCAATAGGAATTACGTTTTTAAAGTCAGTGTATATAAGTTAAAAAGCTAATAACCATACCGTAGAGGCGCGGTAGTTTTTTTTCGAAACGGGGCGCGTACGCAGTAGAAGGTGGCGGAGGAATAAACGACGGAACCGAGAGTGTAAGAAACACGGCAAAAATAGTTAGAGAGAAAGAAAAGAGAGAGGGAGGGAGAGCGAGACAAGTTGGGTGCTGTGTGTACGTGTATGAGCTGAGATATCCGAAGAGTAACCTGCAATTATCCGGTCTAATGAGCAAACAGCTACGGTCGTTGCTGCTGCTGCCGCTGTTCGCATTCCTCGGGCGTATTTTCTACAGCATACTATGTATATTTGATAGTTGTATTGTTTGGTTGTCCTAAACACCGAAAGAAATATCGCTATAGGGCCCATTTTTTTAAAGCTTTGTAAAATTAGTCAATTATTCTGTTTCAACGATTTGTTCTGAGATCAGAATCTTTTTATTTTAATCAATCGCTGCAATATCATGAAATTATTACCTATCAAATAGTGAACGCTTAATTCTTACTTTGTCATAAGTTTATGGAGACTCTGCAGGTGCACGTCATGAGTACATCCAATAAAGGATACAATTTTCACACGCTGCATAGCGTATACATCATAATCAAGCGTTTACTCTTTCTTTTAATTTAGAAATAAACTCGAGAAACGTCACTCAGACATTGCATTTTACGAATCCTAGAGATATGAGTTTATCAATTTTTCTTCATAATTATGATGAGGTAATAAGTAGCCTTCAAAGCTATATGCCACGTATCATTTATGCACTGTATGTGTGTATTCATAGAGACCACACACATGCTCATCCGTCGTACCGTGGATGAATTATTTCTTCTTTTGTTGCTAGTGTTTGAACTGTGAGTTACTACTGTATAGCAGATTTGTTGCTCGTAGATAAATAATAAAATCGTCGTTGAATTCCAACGAACGATTTACCTTCGCGTAAAAAAAGTTCAGAAGACGGTTTTTAATAAAAATGTTAAAACTTTAAAAATGCGAATTAAATTTTTGAAAGGATATAAATTTTACAAAATTCATCAAATAAAATATAAATAATTCATAAAATATAAAAAATTTACATTGTCCATAAAACGTATGAAAATTGTATAAACCTATTTTCATAAAATATTTATACATTTTATTTTCTTAATCTAGGATTTTTATTAGATACTGTACACAACATTTTTGGCCCGTAATACATTTGAAATTTTATGCCACAAGTGCAGTTTAGGAATTTTGCTCTCAAAACTTTAGACTAAGAGCTTTTTTATTTCATCAATAGATGGAGTATCGAAAATTCGCAAGTGGCAAAAAAATGTTCGATTGGTATTAATATAAACATTTTTTCAAGAAATAATGAGTATAAAATGGTAGAGCTTTAGTTTTTGAAACTCTAAGTTGACTCCGCCTACACTGTTATTTCCCGTAGTTGAAGATTTTCTGAAGAGTACGGCTTAGGTCATTAGTGGCCTGCCCACAAATAATGAAACCAATGAATCGGGCCCGAAATCGACCATCACGAGAGCAAAGAGCTCATCTTCCGAGAAAAAAGGCGTTCAAGTCATGTTTACGTGGAACGAAACACGGCTTTTATTCGAACTTTATGCAATACTTATGATACTTTAAATGAGAAACAAGCATTAATAGCAACTTTGCTTATCTAAAAGGTCCATTATGACTAAATTACAACTACAGTTATGAGAGGGACTCGCATAAGCGCGAGCGTATTCCCAAAAAAAAAGGCAATAAACACGAGCCGGCTGAAGCGACAGCCCTCGTTGCCGAGTACTTTAAACGGCGTTAAATTCTCAATTTTTTTATGAAAAAAAAAACTCATAAGTTGCGCCGAAGCTCTCTCGCTCGAATATCGGGGCGCTATCCTTTATAAAGTAAGTGAAAAGGATCAAAGTACTTAAAAAAATAACCCATCGACGCGCACACTGCAGTGGTTCGTTTGCGGATATTGAATTTGTTTTGACAGTAAGAGAGAGATTATTTTTAGCTAGCGGTAAAATTTAATCACGTGTCCGATGATTTAATCGCGAGAAATTCGACGTTTTCTTTTCTTTTTATTCTTCATATCGGATTGGCTTTTTGAAACACGCTTCCTCCTTCAAAACGGAAATTTATTAACCGTATAAAATTTCACTGGAGTAACCTATCGATTCTCTTTTCCCAAAACGGCTTTTCCCAACCCCAAATTTACAAAGAGTATCAAGAATAATGCTTCGATTTTACATGTTAAAGCGTTTACGTGTCAAACGTACGCGATGCACACCGCGTGGAAAAACAGGTTCCGACCGCTTCCATCGATTTCCATCCGAATTACGTCGTTGTGCAGTGCGAGCCGATCATCGAGGCTGTCGCCGCCGTCACCGCTCTGAATCGGCTACGCTCGCATCCATCAGCATTAAATGTGGTGCAAGGTTACGCGTCACGATCACGAGGCGTGCGTTCATTATCACACCTGCGACGATCGTCTCACTCGGCGGCGTATGATACACCTGGGCGTATCGAATTTTCGCAGGCGAGATCGTGCCTCGATCTTTTATCGGGTACTACCCGCGAAATTAACATTTCGACGCGCGCACGATTCGGTGCATACAAAACTCAAGTCGAAAGTCGCGACACACAAAAACGGTATACCCATACATCCTTGGTTATAATACGGAAGCCTTGATTCTTATATTTAATATGGGGCATACACGTATACGCGCAACATGAACGTATAAACGTCGTAAAGTCGAGTGCGTATAACACACACACACACGAAGAGAGAAAGAAAAGGCGATCGGCTGCACGCGTTATATAGTACAGGATGCGAAACAACAACAACAATAACGGCAACAACAAGAACGAAGCGGCGCCACGCCCGCTATTCACCTTCAACTTGGTGTGGCTGCGGGCGCGTCCGCCTACGATCTGGCTCTGCTCCGCGCACATGTTTCGGAGTACATACGTGTACTACTATATATAAGTGTACGAGCGCACATAAAGGCACGCTGCAGATCGGCGAAATTTTTCTTCCTCTAGATCGCGGGTGCGTCGAACCGTATACATACACAACCAGCTCACATAAAGGTAAGAATTAATGTATACGCGGCGGAAGCTCTCGAACTGATTTTTCGCTAAAATCTATCTTCGGTTCCGTCCACCGCGTGTGCACTACAGAGTATATATAAGCTCGAGTAACTTACGTTCCCACTTTCAGCTGAGGATATTGAGCTTGCCCTATCCACCCCCCCGTCACATGGTTTTCAGCCTTTTAGCATTGGGCATGTTTCAGAGCTTGGAGTCTTGCAAGCTCTAGCTCGTCTAAAGTCTCGCGGGTACGGTGTCGACGGTTTGAGCGCGTGTGTGATCAAGCGTGTCTGCCCTGCCATTCTGTCTTCGGTCACTGCAATTGTAAATAGATCGTTCGAGCTTGGCCATTTTCCCTCTTCTTGGAAGGTGGCTTCAATTGTGCCACTTGCGAAGACCTCATCTTTATCCTCGCCGTCT